ATATATATATATATATATATATATATATATATATATATATATATATATATATATATATATATATATATATATATATATATATATATATATATATATATATATATATATATATATATATATATATATATATATATATAAAAAATTATATATATATATATATATATATATATATATATATATATATATATATATTTTTTTTTTTTTTTACTTTAAAGATCGTGAACATTGCTCAATTAAAAAAATAATAATTTAGCATTAAAGATCATGCATGTTTGTTATGGAAGTGACACAATAAAAGTCATAATATTTTTTAGGAAAACAAAAAAACGTTTGATTTTTGACTGAAATGTGACAAAAGCATGAAATTCCTCGACGTTTATTTTCAAAAAATCTGAATTTTCCATCCAAAAATAAACGCGAGTCAATCAGAACATTACCGCAAGCATATTTTTACACGCTTTCCTCAAGATTACATCAGGCGTTTCACTCCAGATCATCATATTTGTGTTATTTTAAGCTGTTTATAGCCTCCTATTTTATTGTAAATCTGACGGCACATTTGATCCTAAAAATCAGAAGCATGCAGCAGAGCAAAGCTGTTAATTTAACAACTCTTCAATGACATTCCCAATACATCATTAGTGGTTATTAATATTCAGATTGAGATTTTCTTGTGTGTATAAAGCAGATGAACGCCTCAGCATTAATGAACAACTGTTAAATCAATAAAAACCTTTAATAAAAAGATCCACACGCTAAATGTGAACAGTACAAAAACAGATGGGCTTAAAATGAAAGGTATTGCCTGGTTTTGCCTCACTGCGTCTCCGATTTCTTCTTGTTTTTCTTCAGGAATGACGGCGTGCGAAACTTCTTCTTCTTCTTTGACGGGGATTTGTTGGGCGATTCGTCGCTGCCGGCTGCATCATCCCCAGCGACAGGCTCCTCCCCTTCAGGCTGAGGGGTGGAGTCTGTCTGTCCAGGGGCGGGGTCTTCTGAGGGGAGGGCAGTGGCTTCAGAGGCTTCGTCGGAGGTCAGGTCGGGGAGGGTCTGTCTTAAAGTAGCGGCGTCGCTTTCTTCTTTAAATGTCTGCTCCTGCTTCACTTCTGTGGATGGGAATGAGGAAAACAAATGAGTTTGCACATTAAAGACGAAGGTATGGTGGGAGAATTCAGCGCTCAACAGCTTTAAAAGCAGAAAAAAACTCCAGCAAACGCTTGATTCCCTGCAATATAAATCAGACTGACATCCTGATACAGACGCTGATCATTAGCTTTAATTATTAAACCGCTAAACACTTGGATTTCAATGCAACTACCTAAAAAACAACCAATTTTGGAGTGAATTAAGGGAAAATTGGCATTGTAATTTGAATTTGCTGAATGTAGGCAATTATAATCATTCATGCTTTAAAATCCACAACTCTCAAAAACAACAGTGCACAACAATTTGCATGAAGTTGACTATGATTTTAATAATTAATTGAGCAATTTCATTGTTAATTGTCTTTCAATTAATTACAAATTGTTGTTTTTTTGTCATTCGGAAGTAATTGAGGAAAAAGCAATTGAGTTTGCACATTAAAGAAGACGGTATGATGGGAAAATTCAGCGCCCAATAGGTCAGCCTTTAAAGCAGAAACAACTCCAGCTTGAATCCCTGCAATATAAATCAGACATCCGGATACTGAGGATAATCATTAACTTTAAATCTTAAACCACTACAACACTTGGATTTCAATGCAATTACCTAAATAACAACCAATTTTGTAAACTAAGGAAAGATTTGCATTGCCAGGGATGTTAATGTAAGAATTATAACCATGAATGCTTTAAATTCATGTAAATTATTATTTGAGTTTTATGAGTTTAATAATTAATTCATCAATTTTATTGTTAACTGTCTTTCAATTAATACATTTTTAAAATATTATTTATTTTTAGATTCGACAAAATTGTAATACCAACCAAAGGGTCTGAATTATAGTTATACAATACAGTAAAATCTAAAGAAAATTATGTGTGCATTTTTAAAAGAGATATTTGTATATTAATATTACTTTCTGGCTGCAAAAGTTTACATATATTATATATACAAGATATGCAGTTTTCCTCTCTTTATGCAGTTTTAATTAAATATATATATTTTTATATTATATTATCATTCATAATTTAATTTAATAAATAAAACTGCAGCAAATTATTGCTTATTATATAATATAAAGAATTAATATTGTAGAATTACACACACACACACACACACACACACACACACACACACACACACTCTCTCTCTGGCTGATAGCTGTGTGATTTTCTGCAATAACAGCACTCTTACAGCCTCTGTAATAAGTAATAAGGGTTATTTATTAATCTGCCCCCCCCCCATACAGTTTGACAAACATTGCAGCTGTTGAACAACATAATGTCCTTACGAGGTTTTTTAGGCAAAAATGGAGAATGTAGTTGTTTCGATTGCAAATATGCATTTTATTTACAAGGATAGTGTTTATTTTAAATATTTATCATTTAACATTGACGGTTGCACCACAGGATGGCAACAGAGACCACATAATAAGCTCTTAGAGGAGAAAAACGGCAGATTTTCAAAATTCATTACAGCTGAACAAATCATAATTGAACAGGTAAGTGACAATAAGTCGATCTCTCTCTCTTGTGTATGCTGTAGTGCTGTATTTATACCACAGTAATCTGCTAGTGTTTGCTTTGGCTTTTTCATGGATAGTTAGTGATCTACTGACTGCAGCAGAGAAACACTGAGAAATCCCTGTAGACTGATGCCATTTCATGCTGTTCAGCTTTAAAATCTTAAAATGTGAGCTAAATCAGCTGTTTTGTCATCACTTTAGACATTATGCTAGAGAATCATTCAAACACTAGCTCTAAAGTGAATGAGTGAATAAGCAGCAGTTTCTGCAGTTCTAAAGTCAGCTACAGATGTGAATGGAGGAAGAAAGTAGTACCTCATACAAAAAAATTTTATGACTCGTGTTTGATTTTCTTTTTTATATACATGATTATGCCGTTGAACAGTTGTATAAACACAATATCACACGAGTAGCAGTGCGGTATGACTATAATGTCACTGGTGGGACACTGAAGCACTCTGTCTGCAGCCTCAAGCCAACGCACACCTCCCACCAGTGCTGATACACAGCCACATCACACTGCAACTCCTGTGACATGTGATGTGAAATTTGCATTAAACAAAATATACAATTGAATCCAATACTTCATTATTTAAATTTGCAATTAAATCAAACAAATTAGCACCGATTATTTGTTAAACATTAACATCCCTACATGCAAACTATTAAAATTAGATTTAATCTCCAAATTCAATAACAAGCATATCTTGGGACTCCTACACTTTGTTCATCTCTAACCCTCTCAGAAAATAATCCACATCAGCGTCTCCAGATCATGCACACAAGCAGCAAAACCGCATCAGCTGAGCTCTTCAATCAGAAATACAATCAGAAATCAGACATATTCATATTCACAGAGAGATTTCAGCTCTCAGACAAACACCAGTAATAAAGACACACACACACACACATCTATATGAAACACTCACAACTGTCTGAAACCTACAGAGAGAATCAACCACATTTATAAACGGAGAAATATCAATATTACAAACATTCTGCATATGATTTGGAGAGATACCGGAAGCGTAATATTCATACTTTACCTGATCTCCTGAAGCATTGCATTAAAATGCGCATTACAGAACCCGCTTTGTTAATATTAGAGGTTAAGAGAGGAAAAAAGCAGAGGTTTCTAGGGAGAGATTTGTTGCTGGAATGATCGCACTCAACTCCAGATCCTTTCAGCAAAATTCAAATGTTCTTAAATGAACAAATCAAGTCTTTTACATCCATTTGAACTGTAAATTGTATAATTATTAGGTAAAGTGTCTCTATAAATATTTAAACATTTATAGAGAGACAAACACAATTTTGTGAATGCTTCTAATGCCTTATATGACTGTAGAGCTTTGATTGGCTATAACGCCTGTCTATTAATTGTTTACAAATTAGGGAATTTAACAATTTAAATTGTAATCATTAAATTAAGTTACAATTAAAATTACACTTTAATATTATATTATTTTTTACAAAATGAAATTTTAATTAAATTGTTGTAAAATTGATAATGCATCAAAAAGTATCTGCTAATATTATAAATATTTTAAATCCAATCAAATCCTAATGGATAAATGTCATGGGGGGGAAAACTGCTATTTAAATTTTAAAAATCAAAAATAAATTGCAATCAAGTTATACTTTAATATTATAATAACATATTATAATAAAATACTATTATCTTAATATAGTTTAAATGACATTTTAATTGAATTGTAAGAAGTATAAACTATAAAGAAAAATTCTAATTATTAAATCAGAATTATAGAATGAATAATGCATCAAAAAAAATCTGCTAATATTATAAATATCTTTACAAGCAGCTAAATCCTAATGGACAAATGTTATCGGAAAAAACTGCTATTTAAATTGTATTTATTACATTTAATTACAATAAAAATGAAACTTTAATAGTATAATGTTATAATGGTTTAAAAATTATATTTTTTAATTGAACTGTAATTAATATAAACTGTAAAGAAATATTCTAAACATTAAATTAAAATTACAGAATTGATAATGCATCAAAATCTGCTAATATTATAAATATTTTTAAATTCTGCAAATACTAATGGATATATGTTATGCGGGGGAAGGGGGGGGAGGGGGATTAAATTAATCATTGAAATAAATAGCAATAAAAATTACACTTTAACATTATAACTTTTTTTATCAAATCTTTTAATTTAATAGTAATAACTATAAAGAAAAATTCTAATCATTAAATTATAATTATAGAATTCATAAAACATCAAAAAGTTTCTGCTAATTTGGACTTGTGAATATGAACAGGTATAGATTAATCATGGGAGGAATATGATTAAGTATCTGTACAGTTGTGGACATGTGCATACATGTATTTATATTTTACATATGTTTATTTATTATAATTAGTCGTTAAATTAGATTTATAGGAATAATAATGCATTAAAAAACCTGCTAATTTTATTACATCCAGTTACATCCAGTCAAACCCTAATGGACAAATGTTGAGGAAAAACTTAAATTTAAATTTTAATCATTAAAATAAATAGCAATAAAAATTATACTTTAAGATTATACATTTTTTATTTAATTATTTAAATAAAATTATTTTTACTTTTTAAATTCTTTATTAATTTAATTGTAATAAATATAAACTATAAAGAAATATTTTAAACATTAAATTGGAATTTTATAATTAATAATGCAAATAATACAAATTAAATTTGCCAATATTGTATTGTTATAAAATGACATTTTAATAGAATTTTAATAAAAACAAAAATTATGTAAATGTGTAATAATCATAAAATTTATTTATAATAAAAAGCATTATATATAACATTATATTGTTATAAAATTATATCTTATAATTGAATCTGAATAAATATAAAGAAATAAACAAAAAATAATAATTTTAATCAAATAAAAATAAACTGAATAGAATTACATTTTTAATACAACATTTTAACAAGGTAATTAACCAATATTATATTGTTATAAAATTACATATTTTAATAAAATTTGAATAAATATGAACTATAAAATAATTCTTATTAATAAATTTAATAGCAATAAAATTTTATAAAATATATCTTATAATTGAATTTGAGTAAATATAAACAAAAAAAATATAAATAAAATTACAATTAAATACAAAAACGAAACAAAACACAATAACCTCACAGTTAACCAAACAGATTCCAATCAACTGGAATTAAACAACTGAAGTTAAATCAGATTATTCCAGTCATGACTTGCTTCTGTGATCTGGAGTGGTGCAGATCATCCTCACCAACACTGATTGCAGATCAGCGCCAGAGGACGGATAAAAATAATGATGATCAGCGGATGAAGCCGTGTGGCGGGTCAGAAACTCACTATGGTACTTACTATGGTAACAGGTACTCTTTAGCATTTCCATCTCCTGAGTGTGTGACGCGGCCACAGAAGAAAAAGCACAAGTAGAGAGAGAATGTCTATGCAGGTCAATCACAGCCACCGGGTTAAATTAAAAGAAGTGGACAGAAACCATAAAGAGAAAACACACACACAAACAGAGCCATTCTTGAAGACCCCATAGAAATGAGCATGAAGGAGAATGAAGACATTGAAGACTTTACGAGACATTTCCCAGAGCAGATTACACCGGAGAGGACTCTACTTACTTTAAACTGCACTTTACTTTCTTTTAACTTTCATAACTACACATGAAATGCGGTAAAAGCTATTCTTTGCACATTAAAATGCGCATCGTTGTCACAGTTGGTTAGGATAAAAACGAATAAAAATTAATATATTTAGATATTACTAAATATAATATTATATATATTAGATATTAATTTACTATATATATATAGTATAAATATATTACTAAATATATATTATATATATTAGTTATTAAT